CACTGCAGGAAATGTTGTTTTGGCAGCACAGATTTCAATCCAAGATGTCAAACTGCATAGTGAATGGTCAGATCAGTTAATAATAATACAAAAAGAGATGTCAACCTACCTGCCCTAAGTGACTTATGATAATGCTGGGGAGGTGCACCGCCACCCTGTGCTCCTGCCAAAATTTGAATTTCTAAACGGGGTGCCCCCACATGCCCTTCTCCATCCCTCTGGGTGGTCCTTCCTGCACCGCCAGCCCCCCCAGACACCCATCACCTATGCTACCTGCTGAATCAGAAATTAGATGTTCAGTTTAGGATCAGAGTTGATTTCATTTCAACAAGGGCTTACACATGACTATTCCATATTGGTTTCAATCATGTCTTTTAAGGGTCCACAAACCTTTTAACACCACTCTTATCCTTACTTACTAATACAAAGGAGACATGGGAAAAGCCAGCAATACCTGACTACGTAAAAATAGTATATAAAGGCCATCCCTTACCAAGAGAATGAGGAAGAAACTCTAGTTACGGGCAAAAATATTCTGCGATACGAAGCTTCTTCGACATTCCCCAAAGCATGTGGTATTGATGAGGAAGAAACTCTAGTTACGGGCAAAAATATTCTGCAATACGAAGCTTCTTCGACATTCCCGAAAACATGTGGTATTAGTCACTGTTAAAAACAAGTTATCAAACTAGATGAACCACTGTTCTGATCCAGTACGCTACTGTATTATGTCTCTCACTCCATGCAGGTACAACATGGCGGATGAAATGGACGAGGCAAACTCCACCACAGTGGTCTCTGAGTTCATTTTTGTAGGGTTCACGGATAACCCAACACTGCAGGTCATCATCTTTGTGCTGTTCTTAGCTATTTACATCAGCACCCTCGCAGGGAACTTTGGGATGATTGTGTTAATCGGAGTCAGTCCAAAACTGCACACCCCCATGTACTATTTCCTCAGTAATTTGTCCTTCCTGGACATCTGTTATTCCTCTGTGGTTGCGCCCAAGACACTGGCAAGCTTCTTAGAGGAAAAAAGAGCCATCTCTCTGGCTGGCTGTGCAGCACAGTTGTACTTTTTTATAGCCTTGGGGACCACAGAGTGTTTCCTGCTGGCCGTCATGGCCTATGACCGGTATCTGGCCATCTGTAACCCACTGCTGTATCCTGTTATCATGTCACCTAGAGTCTGTGTCCCTCTGGTATTTGGGTCCTACATAACAGGACTACTGCATTCTATGGTACACACAGATTTCACCTTCCGTTTGTCCTTCTGTGGGTCTCACGAGATCAATCACTTCTACTGTGATATCACACCTCTCTTAGCTCTCTCCTGCTCTGACACTCATCTCAATGAATTCCTAGGCCTGGTCAGAGAACAAGAATTCTGTCTGGGAAAACATTTCAAGGTTTTGTAATATGCTTGCACTCTGATGCTGAATGACAAAGAGACTCTGTGTGTGTGTGTGTGTGTGCGTGTGTGTGCGTGCGTGCGTGCGTGTGTGTGTGAGAGAGAGAGAGAATATATATTTGAGAGAAAATATGATGCAGATCCGCTAATAGCTTGGGGGTTTGGGTGAGTTTTAGCCAATTTTTGAATACATTCTTTTCTGTGTTTTTTCCCCTTCCTTGGTGTCACTCCTGGCTTCATCTAGACTGCAAGCCTCTTTTGAAAGAGGCTTTTTCGAAAGATACTTTCAAAAAAACCTCTTTTGAAAAAGAGTGTCTAGACTACAACCAGTACTTTCGAAAAAACAAGCCGCTTTTTCAAAAGAGAGCACTCAGGCAGTCTGGATGCTCTCTTTTGAAAAAGCACAGTTTGCATTATATAGCGCCTTTTTTTCGAAAGAGCACTTTCGAAACAAGGCGTTCTTCCTTGTAAAACAAGGTTTTCCGCGGTCAAAAAAACTGCCACATTCTTTCGATTTACTTTTGAAAGAACATGGAAGCAGTCTAGATGCAGGGGAAGTATTTTCGAAAAAAGGCCACTTTTTTCAAAAAAAATCCTGCAGTCTAGACACACCCTGAGAGAATATATATTTGAGAGAAAACATGATGCAGATCCGCTAATAGCTTGGGGTTTGGGTGAGTTTTAGCCAGTTTTTGAATACATTCTTTTTTTCTGTTTTTTCTCCTTCCTTGGTGTCACTCCTGTGTATAGGTAAGGCTTATTAGGTGCTTACCTCTCTATATCCTGACATATTTGGATTTAAGTTTTTTTACATTTTTCTGGATTTCTTTTATTCTGGGATAATCACAACATCTCTGTAGTTTATTTTACTGATCCATATTCTGAAACATAACTCCATTTTATCATGTTTCCTTGGGAATTTCCTTGGTGGATGTTGGTTTATTTTTGTTTTGTTTTACTTTTAAATGTAAGTGCTATAACACAAAGATAATATTACAACGTAATATTACTAATGATTTAAAGAGGGGTTATTTTTAGAAAAAAAATCTTGTAGAGCCAGATTCACTGTTACTCTTTTGATTGCTCTGGAAGAACACTCAGCACCTAGACTATACACCCATTTCCTTCTTCCTAACCTCACCTTTTTATGCAGCATTCCCCCCCCCCCCTCCCCAATTTCCCCTGCCTCTCTACTTTGTACTCTACACAGCTGCAACTTTTCCCCTCCATCCTGTAGCTTGCATTCTTTCCCTTGACTTCAATGGAGTTTTGAATCGGGCACTATATAGCTCCCAATAAGACATGTTGGTATGAGTAGAAATAATCTGAGTGATCTGTTAGGAAGGTGAAAATATCAGCCAAGAGCATTTGAGATGCATGAAAGTGTTTGTGGAAGTTGTGATCTGACAGCTAGAGGATTTGAAGGCTTCAATATCTGAGATATAGGTGAGAGGATTATTCTAGGAGGGGTGGGTGAGATTTTGTGGCCTGCGCTGTGAAGGGGTCCGACTAGATGATCATAATGGTCCCTTCTGACCTTGGAGTCTATGAGTCTATGAGTTCTAATCCTGTCTCCTAAGAAATGCGTATTAATTTGTGGTGAGCTATTTTGCAGGATCTATCCGTGTCACTCTGCTAGTGTCTTGTGTTCCTGAAGTGTAAATGCACGTAAAAGCATTTCTTAGAGAAAAAACTCCTTTTTAATAATCTGCTCATAATTTCAGATGTCGATTGCTTCATGTCAATCTGTTGCGATAACAGCAAGCATTCCATCATTTAACAGGGAGGATCATTAACCATTGGGGATTCTCCATTTATCAGTGTCTTCAACTCAAGTCTGGAACTCTTCATCAAACACAATTTATTAGGCTCTGAACTGGAGTAGCGGAGTGAATCTCTATGGCCTATGTGATACAGGATGTCAAATGAGAGGCTCTAATGGTCCTTTCTGGCCTTAAAATCTGTGAATCTCAATGCATACGGACTATATTTATTTATTTATTTGCCTCCCCCACCCCTTCCACAATGAAAGATGGTCCATCCAATGTTCCGGGTTCCCTTGACAATATTTCAAATGCACACTATTTTCAGGGTAAAGAACAGAGCAAACACGTACCTACAAGAACAATGAATTAAAATCCCACAAAAACCCTTCACAGAGATCCACACTGAGTCCGACTCAGACATATGGTTCATCTTGGAGCAAGGGAGACAAGACAGACATTCCAGCATGTCCTAAAGGTGATCTGAGACCAGGAAGGGAAAACGAAGAAAGAGCTGCTGTGTTTGTAAGGCAGAAGGACATTAGTGTGTGTGTGTGTGTAACTTTTAAACCGTAACTTTTTGTAAAGCCAAGAAGGACACTAGTGTGTGTGTGTGTGTGTGTGTGTGTGTAACTTTTAAACCGTAACTTTTTGTAAAGCCAAGTTTTGCCTTGGAGGGTGGGGGGGCTTGTCTCTAATGGACCCTCTGTTAGAAAACCAGATTCCTGACATGGTTGTTTGTAAAGTCTGGTGCATGTCTTCTCTGCATGAGTAGGTGTCTTCTAGTCAGGGGATAGCTAACCTGCATTCACTAACTCAGGTCAATATAGAAGTGAGGATCTGATAACTAGACTTTTTACTCGGGTTAGCACCTTGACTTAACTCCAGGCTTCCTTATTGATTTAGCAGCTTGTGTTAATGTCTAACTAAAAGCTGAGTTGTCACATTTTCACTGCTATTTTAACCCTAGTTAAGACAACATGGTTTTGTGCAGTAGTGCCATCATACTCCGAGAATGTGTGTTCTCTGTGTTTTTCAGACTGTGTGGCGCAAGCAGTGTTTATCCCTAGTCCTATTTTCAGCAAATGCTTTTAATGGAAAAGTTTTTCCGTTAAAAGCATTTGTGGAAAAGAGCATCTAGATTGGCAAGGACGCTTTTCCGCAAAAGCACTTTTTGCGGAAAATCTTCCGTGCCAATCTAGACGCGCTTTTCTGCAAAAAAGCCCCAATCGCCATTTTCGCGATCGGGGCTTTTTTGCGGAAAACAAATCTGAGCTGTCTACACTGGCCCTTTTGCGCAAAAGCTTTGTGCAAAAGGGACTTTTGCCTAAACGGGAGCAGAATAGTATTTCCGCAAGAAGCACTGATTTCTTACAGTAGGAAGGCAGTGATTTTGTGGAAATTCAAGCGGCCAGCGTAGACAGCTGGCAAGTTTTTCTGGAAAAGCGGCTGATTTTCCAGAAAAACTGGCCAGTCTAGACACAGCCCTTATGTTTAAAAAATGCAAAACAGCATGTGAAGGCAGGAAAAAGAGAATAAGGGATTTGTGTGCAGCCATCTTAGTCTTGCTAGCAAGAGAGCAAGAGTCAGGCTAATTCTGACTCTTGACCACGCCAGAGTTGTAATAAGACGCTGCCTTCGCCTCTCACCTCCATATGGAGATAAGGATGGAATGCTGACTCCAATGAGAACCTTGAAGATAAGGTAGCATTTGTCTAGCCATTGTTGCATAGTGTATAAGTTGCTTCATAACTGTTTGTATTCGAAGATCTGCCGGGGGGGGTCTTTCCCCCTCCGTCTGAATCAGGCTTCCCTTGTAATATTGCTCGAATAAAACTGCCTCTGGCTACTTAAGAACCTCCATGAAATTATCTAGCTTCTCTTTAAACTTTATTATAGTCCTAGCCTTCACCGCCTCCTCTGGCAAGGAGTTCCACAGGTTGACTACACGCTGTGTGAAGAAGAACTTTCTTTTATTAGTTTTAAACCTGCTACCCATTAATTTCATTTGGTGTCCTCTAGTTCTTCTATTTAGGGAACTAATAAATAACTTTTCTTTATCGGCCCTCTCCACACCACTCATGATTTTATAGACCTCTATCATATCTCCCCTTAGTCTCCTCTTTTCTAAACTGAAACATTGTTGCTTCTTTACTTGTTGCTTACAAACGCAGAGTGAAGGCTTTCTTCCACAAGCTCTAGGATGTAGTGTAAACTGCTGTTACAGGCAGTCCCCAGGTTACGTACAAGATAGGGACTGTAGGTTTGTTCTTAAGTTGAATTTGTATGTAAGGGGTTATGTACAAGATAGGGACTGTAGGTTTGTTCTTAAGTTGAATTTGTATGTAAGTCGGAACTGGTACATATTGTAGGGGAAACTCTAGCCAAACATTTCTCCAGAGCTCAGTTTTATTCTCCCACACCTCACTTCCTGCAGACCAGGGAGACGCGGAGCGGCTTTTCTCGCCGTGGAGGACGCGGGCGGCGGGACCGCAGCACGTCTCCCTGGTCTGCTGGGGGCGGGGCGCAGCTAGTGCTGGGTTGCCTCACCCCATTTGTAAGTAGGGATCCGATGTAAGTCGGATCCATGTAACCTGGGGACTGCCTGTACTGGGGTGTAGAAACATTTCCTAACTTGTCCGTTCATGCACATGGCTACCGGACATGGTAGAGATCAACACATCATTTATGTGGGTTGACTCTGCTCAGATAATTTTGCTGCCTATATAATCTCATCTAATGTCTGTCTCTTCTTGTCAAATCTAGGCAGCTCAATTTAGACAACATGGCTGGGGATAACCGCACCACAGAGGTCACCGAATTCATTTTTGTGGGATTAACAGAAAACCCAACACTTCAGAGCATCCTCTTCACGTTCTTTCTAGCTGTTTATAGCACCACGTTAGTGGGGAATCTCAGCATGATCGTGTTGATTAGCACCGAACCACGGCTTCGCACCCCCATGTACTATTTCCTCGGTAATTTGTCTTTCCTGGACATCTGTTATTCCTCTGTCACTGCACCTAAGACACTCGTGGGGTTCCTAGAGAAGAGAAAATCCATTTCTCTGGCTGGCTGTGCATCACAATTATATCTTTTTTTAGCCCTGGGCACTACAGAATGTTTCCTCCTGGCCGTGATGGCCTATGACCGGTATGTGGCCATCTGTAATCCACTGCTCTACATGATCATCATGTCCCCTCGAGTCTGTGTCTCACTAGTAGCCGGGTCGTACGTAATTGGCTTGTTGCATTCTATGGTCCACACGGGTTTCACATTCAATTTGTCCTTCTGTGGGTCTAAGGAGATAAATCATTTTTTCTGTAGTATTACATCGTTGTTATCGCTTTCATGCTCCGATACCCATCTAAATGAACTCCTGATATTTAACCTTGCCGGACTAATTGAAATCATAACTATTCTGTCCGTCTTGGTGTCTTATAGTTATATCCTCAGCACCATCTTCAGGATCCGCTCCACACACAGGAGGTGGAAAACCTTCAGCACCTGCACCTCCCACCTGACGGCTGTCACCATATTCCATGGGACAATTCTCTCCTTGCATTTCCGGCCCACATCCAGCTATTCCTTGGACCAAGAAAAAATGGTCTCCGTGTTCTATACGGTGGTGATCCCCATGCTAAACCCCCTCATCTATAGCCTCAGAAACCAAGATGTCAAGGATGCCCTGAAAGACTTAATGAAGAAAAAATTGTTTGCCAATAAATGTAATAATTAATGATGTTATCAAAACAATAAAGCATGCAAGACTTCAAATGAAGTACCGTATTTTAGAGAATACAACCCGCGGGTTATATTTGTTTTTACAAACCCCGCACTCCCCCTGTGGGATATACTCGGGTGCAGGGCATACAAGATTTTTTTTTTACTTACCTGGTGGGGAGCACTCCCCCGTCCCTTCTCCTGCTGCATAGCTGCCAGCCTCCAGCGTCCGAGCGGGGGAGCGCTCATCTCCCGATTCCTGCGGCTGCATAGGAACCGGGACTAATTCCCCCCCCATCCCCCGCACAGTTTGAAAAAAAGTCTTGTATACCCTGTGGGTTATACTCGTGCGTGGGGTATACAAGATTTTTTGTACTCAAACTGCAAAAACCGCGGGGTATATTCGGGGGCAGGGTATATACACTAAAAGATGGTAATGTGTCAAATTCTCACCTGTGTAATCTATTACATGGATTCTATGTATAACCTTTCTCTGAACAGTGTTGGTAGGATCCTTCTTCCTAGGGAAAGGAAGGCTGGATCCTTCTTCCTAGGAAATTCACTATGATTTGCTTAACTGAGGCACAATTCCAATCCAGTAATCTGACAATCTATATCCACTTTGACAGGCACCTTTGATAAGCAAGTCTGGCCCTATTTATAAGCAAATTTTATTGGGGGAAAGGAAAGAGACAGACCAGGTTGAACTTGAAAATTTACTTCAGAAATCACATATTCAGATAGTATCTAGTCCAGCGGAGGGCAACCAAAATGAGTAGGGGGCTGGAGCTTATGATTGTGAGAGCTGTGTGCTCCCTCTGCATCTCATCAAAGTGCTGCTACAGTTCAGTTAGCACATCCCACAAATTCTAGGTATGTAAGTGCAGTGAGCAAAACTACCCGATTCAGGAAGACCGTCTTGATTACGACAGTCTTGTGGCCCACTGAGATGAAGGAGGCCGCTCATGAGGCCCACTCACTAGCCTAGGTTGCCCTTCACTTACTTAGCAACTTTGATCTTTAATTCCACCCACAATGACAAGGCTATTTCAATGTGCAGGAAACACTCTCCCATTGAAGTTCTTCATTAGCATCACACATGGCTTATTTCTGTTTGATGACATAGTACATACAATATACACTATGGCTACGTCTACACTGGCATGATTTTCCAAAAATGCTTTTAACGGAAAAGTTTTCTGTTAAAAGCATTTTCGGAAAAGCATGTCTAGATTGGCAGGATGCTTTTCCGCAAAAGCACTTTTCGCGGAAAAGCGTCCGTGGCCAATCTAGACGTGGTTTTCCGCAAAAAAGCCCCGATGGCCATTTTTGCGATCGGGGCTTTTTTGCAGAAAACAGTACTGTGCTGTATACACTGGCCCTTTTGCGCAAAAGTCTTTTGGAAAAAGACTTTTGCCCGAACGGGAGCAGCATAGTATTTCCGCAAGAACACTGATGATCTTACATGAGATCGTCAGTGTTCTTGTGGAAATTAAAGGGGCCAGTGTAGACAGCTGGCAAGTTTTTCTGCAAAATCAGATGATTTTGCAGAAAAACTTGCCAGTCTAGACACAGCCTATATGCTAGTGATTACATTGTAACAAAATACAGATAAATTGAAAACAAACATGTGCAAAATCTCACCAGGTTTTTTCCCATGAAGCTTCAATATAAAACAGATTCTTAGACATGTAAGAGCTACTCTGAACTATGTTAAAACACAAGGAAGCTCATCCGGTTTCCAGCCGTGAGTTTGTCTATTCTCAGCTGATGCGTAGACCTTGGCACTTGGTTTACAAAAATTAACCAACCTAAACTATTATAAATTATATTATTATACATATAATTTAAACTTATGTTTCTATTATTTTTAAACTTATGTTCCATATTTTCTTTTCAGATCATTTTCATATTATTGTTGTCCCTTTGTCTGAGTAATTAGTCAATATTAGGGGTTTTTCCAGATTGTGAAAAATACAACATATTGCTCATTTTCCCCTTTCCATAGGCTCTTTGCCAGCCAATTTCAATTTTTTTATTCAATTTTTGTTCCAGATCAAAACAAAAACAAATGTCAAAATCTTGACATGGGCTGTGAAATGAAACGCCAGTCCCCTGCACGGCTCTGTTCCTCTGCACCCCCCTCTCTCTGCCGCCATTGCAGAGCAGGTGGACAGGGAATGGGCAAACTTTCCTTCCCATGTGACCACTGGCTGCTTGGCACAGCTGAGCTGGAATGGAAGATGTTGTGTATTGCTCCTGGTGGACCTCCCAGAGCAGAGAATGTTTATGAGGAACATCCCCTCTGGGGTTACACTTGGTGGGCTGCAGCTTTCTTGGTCCCTCGCCCAAGGCTGTGGCTAAAGCCAATTCATCCCTTTGGGCCATGGGGACCCGCCTTTTCAAAATAATTACCTGTGTGTGAGAATTAGCACCCTAGGGTACTTCAGCAGTGGTGTGAGGACCAGAGCTCGGAGCTGTTTTAGGGAACTGGTCCTCAAAGGAGACAGAACTCCAAATAATTATCATGCTCTGGAAATCAAGGTCACCTTTCCCCAGTCAGGAGAGAGATATAAGCCCTGCTGCAGCAGGGAGGTTTCACATGGTTGTGGACATAGGACAGGAAGAGGGTGGAGGCTGGTTTTGTGGTGTCTCTACAACATATCGGTCCCTGCTTATGACACAAAGGTACTTTAGTGTGTGTGTATTTACAGAGCTGGATTTCCAAGTAGGCATAGTAGGCACATGGGGCAGTGGTATTGGAGGAGTGCCTAAAAGTTAAATGTGGGTTCAAAGTTTCATTTTTTTACGGAAAACATGAAGGGAAGTGGTCGGCAGGGAGAGAGGGGCTGTGCTGTAAGTGCGAGTAAGGTGCAAATCTGGCCGTGTGGGTGTATGCAGCGCAGGGATGGGGAACCCTTTTTGGATCAGGGGCCACTGACCCACAGAAAAATCAGTCGGGGGCCGCACACAAGTGAGACGCCAAGTGAGAATTCTTTGACTGAGGAGAGTCTCCCCACATTCCCCTCACACACCAGAGCCTAAGGGGGCCCAGGTGAGTAGATTTTGTGTGCTCCAGCTTTGCCGGTGGGTGGCAGCGGGGACTGAAGCACCAATGCTGAGCCTCGGGAGATGGATCCAGGCAAGCCAGGGGCCACACCTGGTCCTTAATGTAGAGAAAAACAACAGAATAACCGTTTGGAATGATATTTATCTTTGACTTAAAGACTCCAGTGGATGATGATGTAGCTATTCATTTGGTTTTTATACAGGCCCTAAGACAGGGGCATCAAAATTCTGTGATGGGGCTCTGTAACTTTCTCCGTTCTCTTCCTGAAATGCCAGAGTCCTCCCTGTGGCAATCTGCCAAGGGCTTTGAGTAGAGGGGCCAAACATCCCAATTTTAGAGGGACACTCCCAGCTCTCCTGCAAGTGTCCCGGCTTTTTCTTAAAAATGGGTAAAGTGTCCCTTATTTTCTGTCTCACCTCCCCCACACCCCCATCAGTAGTGGCAGGATCTGCTGCTGGCTGGATCCCTGCTCACCAATGCCTGTCCCCTAGTGGTGAGTGAGGTGGTCCCAGTGGTTGAGGCTGTAGCGGGGGTGCAAGGCTGGTGGTGGGGTGAAGATGCAGCATGCAGGGCAGACTGCCCCCTGCTGGTCCATCAGCACAACTCCTGCTATGTGCTGGGTCTCAGGCAGAAGGGACACCCCCCATCGCAATTCCAACCGGCACTGGCTGTGAGCTGTGATGGCTGGTGAGTGCAAGCAGGCAACTGGTGGTGGCTGGTTATATGTCACCTCTGCTGCCCTCCCATTGTGCCTTTACATCCCCTCCTCTTGCTGTCTTCTGTCTGTTTTTCCCCTTTGGCGCCCCAGCCATGCTGCTCTGCCAGATCCCCTGGTGGCATGTGGCCCTCTCCCAGTGCTGTGTGGAGAACCAGCCCCTCATTGGAGCGCTCAGCTCACCAACAGCTCGGCCGGCCAGCTTCTTCCTTCCCCCACTGCCTCTGGGGAAAGCCCCAGGAGAGCCCAAGACCCTTCAGCCTGGGGGTCTGGCCAGGAGGACCTGAGCTCTGCATGTGCCCAAGCCTCACACACACCGGCACAGAGAAGCCACCCCTCAGTTAAGCTCTAGAGTGGCAGAAAGGGGGAGCAATTTTCTGTTCCCAACCCAAACCTGCAGGCTCCACAGCAGCCCCTGTGCATGGGCTTAGCAACCTCTCTCTACCTCTCACCCCCAGTCGTCCTCAGTCCTGCTCCCAGGACTGCTCATCCCCAAGGCACCCTCCCCTGCTGAGTCACCTCTTTGGCCAGGCATTGTGGCTGCCGAAACCCCTGCAATCAGGTTCCTAAGGCACTGGTGCACCATGCATACCCCGTCCTGCCTGTGCGGGAGCCAAAGGACAGGAGGCAGCGAGGTTATATCGGTGGCCAGCAGCAGCCTGGAGGTGTTAGCTGCAAGCAAAGAAACAGGCCAAGCTACCCCTTCCCTCCTCCTTTCCTATAGCTAGAAGCAGTTCCCATCCCTGCCCAGCTGCACAGTGCTGAATGGCAGCTGCTGGCTACACCAGGGTGTGGACTCTGGCAGAAATCTGGCCGAGGGGCATGTGACCTTGTGTCCCTCCCCCATGTTTCACCTTGGGAAGTCACGGTGCTAGGAACTGTCTGTCCCAGGAGCCCAGTCGGGCACAGAGAGTGCAGAGGGAGAGACATGGAGGGTCAGGTTGGTTGGCCGCCCCTCACCCCCACCCTTTATGAGAGAGGTGTACAGTGTGTGTATGCGTCACCTCTCCCCATGTGAATCCTAAAATCTTAAAGGGGCTAAATAAAAAAAGAATCCAGCTCTGCCATGTTTCTTTTTAAGGGGGGGGGGGGAACTCAGTGAACTTGATGTTCATTTGAATGTTTGTCCTGCACAGTTCTGCTTAAACTGGCTGGAATGCAAGTGATTTTGCTAGGTGTCCCGGACTCAGCATAGGGAAATACTGGCTTTGAGAAAGCTAATTTAAAGATGCTAATTTAGCTTCTGCCACTGCCTTTGGGAGATATTTCTGTACGTCCTAACATTTGGATATTTTTCCAGCTCTCGGGGCAGATTTTTGAATGCGCTCTGCAATGGACTTCCCTCTTGTGACAAATACCATGTCTCCAGGGTGAAGGTATCGGCCGAAAAGAGAGGTAAGAACCTGTAGAGACAAACGATGCATGTTCCAATGGAGGAACATGTTCCAAAGGAAGAGGGCAATAAGTACAAAGCCAATCTTGGCTGGAAAAGTCTACCTTAACTCCCCGAAACAACACTTGATATACTGATGATTTAGCACCGTCCTATGTGGCTTGGCTAATTCTTCTTGATGTATTTGGTCAGCCTCATTGTGGTTTTCATTGCCAGGTACGACTGATCCCACTGGACCCCATCAGAAGGGCACCGTTTCCTGCATCACTTTTCCCTGCCATCCATGAATTAGAGCATGAAATAAATGGCAGAGAAGAATCACACCCCCATCACGGAGTTCATCCTCTCGGGATTAACAGACCAGCCTGAGTTGCAGGTCCCCCTCTTTGTGATATTTCTAGCTATGTACGTTATGACTGTGTCTGGGAATCTCAGTATATTGCTTTTAATCAGTCTCGATTCCCACCTCCACACACCTATGTATTTTTTCCTGGCCAGCCTGTCCTTCTTAGACATCTGTTACTCTCCAGTCATTTCCCCCAAGATGCTGCAGGACTTCCTGTCGGAGACAAAGACCATTTCTTACAACGGTTGTGCAGCACAAATGTTTTTCTTTGGCGCCTTGGCGACCACCGAGTGCTTCCTGCTGGCAGTGATGGCGTACGATCGCTACGTGGCCATCTGTAAGCCACTGCACTATCGGGTGGTCATGTCCTGTAGAGTCTGCATGCTGCTGGTTTCCACTTCCTACGTGGGAGGCTTTGCTCATTCCGCGGTACACACGGGTTTTGCTTTCACCCTGTCTTTCTGTGGCCCCAATAAGATCAACCACTTCTTCTGTGACATCCCTCCGGTGATAAAGCTCTCCTGCTCTGATACCCATCTCAATGAGATGGTGATGTTCATAGCCACCTTATTCATTTCTGGGTGCTCCAGTCTCACCATTCTTGTCTCCTATTCCTGTATCCTGGTCACGATCCTGCGCATCCCCTCTGCCCAGGGCAGACGCAAAGCCTTCTCCACCTGTACCTCCCATATAACTTCGGTGTCCATATTTTATGGAACGATTCTATTCATATACCTACAACCTGCCTTCAGTTCTTCCCAGCAGCAAGACCAGGTGGCTTCAGTGTTCTATACTTTGGTGATCCCCATGCTCAACCCCCTGATCTACAGCCTGAGAAATAAGGAGGTGAAGGACGCCCTGCGGAGAACGATGAGAAAAACATTTTTCCAGTCTCTGTCATTCCCATTGCCATGAAAGGCAAGACCTCCATGACAGAGGGTCAATGGCCTCATTTTAATCTGTGACTATTAACAATACCACCACATTGTTAAAAAAAAAATCAGGCCTGGATGCCCAAGTAAAGGAAGCATAGTAGTTCAACAATGGTTTTTGTTACACCTATTAAATGACATTTCTCGGAGTAGAACATTTTACCTGCTGGGGGGATTGGGTGAAATCTCGGATGGGTGTAACAGCCACCGGTCACAAGATGACTTCCCTGTTCTGTGCATCAGTGACCTGTTAGTGATTTCCTAACTGGGTTTTAAGAGAGAGCAGCTAGCACAGAAAGGGGTGAACCTGACAACAGAGTGGGTGAGTGGGCGGTTGGCAAGGGAGAACTGTTGGAGGTCAGGGACTACAGGAGGTCTCCTGGGAAAGCAGTAGAAACAGAACACTCTCCTGCCTCTCCCTGGGAACAGAAAGGAATTGTCAGGAAGTCTGCAGACAGGCAAGCCTGCTGGTCTCGTTGAGCCAGGAAGCCATGGTCAGAAAAGGCAGGAGAGGGCTGAAGAGTGAGATGCCAGGTGTCTCTTGAAAAGTTTTAAGGCAGCGAGCTGAAGCCAGCTGGAGGAGAAGTGTGTTGAGAGACTGTGGAGCTGTCCTGAAGAGAGGATCATGGTGAGAGATGCTGAAACGTGACGTGACAGCGGGAGAAGAGTGAGCAATGGCGGAGCTGCAGCAGGTGTGCTCGTTGAATTTTTCTGGGAAATTCCAGATGGCAGTGGTGGGACTTTTATGGGTTAGGTCTCTTGGGATTTCAGTTGTAATATATAAGTCCATCAAGGGCTGTGCAAGCTCGGAAAGCCTTTGGAGAACCACAGAAGGGGAAAGTAAAGCAGGCAAATCAGCTGTGCACTGGCTTGATATCAGAGCTAGCCCAGAGGGGGTTGCCTTATTACACCATCCTCACTGAGGATGGATGGATGGATGGATGGATGGATGGATGGACAGATAAACAAACAATTTTTTTTAAATGCATGACATAAATAGCTAGAGCAACAGGAACTACTTCCTAAATCAAGAGCCATGTGCAAAGGTTGTTCAGGCGTCGAAGTGACATGGATGAAAAGGATTCTTTGGTAACTGAGCGCAAACACAGGGGGAATGGGCATTGTCTGGTGGAGCTTAAAAGTAGCCATTCTTCTACAAAAGAATTTCATTAACCAACTATAGAGAGAGGTTGCAGAACTGGCATTCATCTATAGATTTGACACCGTTTCCCTGGGCATGAAAAACCCATTAACTGGTTGGCGCATTAAAAAGCCAATTTCTCCCACCTTTTACATCTGCACGTCCATATAAAAAATTATGAATGGGACACATCCAGCCCACTTAATTAGCCCCATTAACATGGGTCCTACAATTGACAGATACTTCTTCTGTTGTTATATAGATCTCTTAGTTTCTGATACTTCCACTTCCCATTCATCTGATGAAGTGGATTTTACCTTAAAGCTCATGATCCCATATATTTGTGTTAGTCTCTATGGAGCCACAGGACTACTTGTTGCTTTAGGTGGAGCAGGGCGTGTGTGTGTGTGTGTGTGTGTGTGTGTGTGTGAGAGAGAGAGAGAGAGAGAGAGAGACAGAAGCAGCAGAAACATCACAGAGCCACACAGGAATAACTGACTAGGGCCCTTTCATGTGTACTGAAAAAACTAAAGAGAAAGAATATTTGGGTCGATTTTTGGCTGGAAAGAGGCTTGGCACAGTGGAGAAAGAAGCTGCTTCTTGTTCCATGAGTCCTTCAGTAGTGAAGGCAACAGAACTATGTGTACATGGTTTATAAACCAACAGGATGGCATCAGCAAAAGAGCTGACTCCATTATTAACGCTGGGATTTTCTGGGTTGTTTTCATTTCACACATACTTTCCCATTTCATTAGCTCTGATCCTGAGTTAACTGACCCTGGTTTAATTTGGTAGTAATTTTTATGGAATTCAGCAAGTGGCAAACTACAGTGAATGAGATAGGAATGAAGCCTGTTAATAGCTAGGCAGACAATCAATGGGGAAGGTACTCTGTGAGCACAGCATTATCAATTACAGCTCATTGGAAGTTTTTTGATGGGATAATTTTCCACTCTGAAGCACCTCACACTTTTGCTTCCATGTCAAGAGTGGGGAGGAAGGAATGGGGAAAAGACCAGAGGTTTGCAATCTAGGTTTGCAAGAAGCATTTGTGTTTCCACTAGGGGGCACTGGAGGGCAGACATGCTCCCTGGCTTGACCTTGTGTCCCTCTATTATACAGGCAGTCCCCGAGTTACGCGGATCCGACTTATATCGGATCCGCACTTACGAACGGGGCTTTCTCGCCCCGGAGCTCGCAGGCAGCGGGACCGCCCAGAGCGCAGTGGTCCTGCCACCTCGACCTCCGGAGTGAGAAAAGCTGCTCCGGGTGCCCCTGGTCTGCTGGGGACCGTCTCCAGCAGACCAGGGACACCCGGAGCAAAGCCGGGGAGGCGGAGGGGTCCCACGCCTCTGAGGCTTTGCCAGAGCAAAGCCTCAGAGGCGCGGCACCCCGTCGCTGCTGCGGCTTTGCTCCCCGTGTCCCTGGTCTGCTGGGGGGGGCACAGCTAGTGCGCCCCCCCGAGCAGACCAGGCTTTTGTTGTGGACCCTGGGGTAGAGCAGCTGGGGTGCTGCTGGGTTGGTCCTGTAGGGACCTACCTGGCAGCCCAGCTGTTCTGTCCCAGGCTCGAGATTCAGCCGCTGTTGAAACTGATCAGTGGCTGATTCCAGGAAGCTGGGGGCAGAGCAATTCTGCCTCCAGCTTCCTGTAGTCAGCCCCTGGTCAGTTTCAGCAGCAGCGGCTGAATCTGGAGCCAGTTCTGACTTACATACAAATTCAACTTAAGAACAAACCTATAGTCCCTATCTTGTACATAACCCGGGGACTGCCTGTACCGGGTTTCCAGGTTGGTTCAATGGCTCTGAACATCCATTCTGAACAAATTGTTCCAGCGTCTTGGCTAGGTTGGTCCAGGCTTGGTCAAGACAGGCATGGGGTATGGGTGTAGCCCTTCTAGCATAACCTCTTGGAGGAGAGTAAGTACTGGATATGCAACAAAGTCATACATGCTAGTGTCAGCCCACTGTATGTGGTGCCCACCCAAAGTCAGGGTCTTCCAATACAAGATGGTAGCTTCTAGGAGGGCAAATAAGGGGTGGCAGGTGCGAGTTAAAAGAAGCTCCATGATTCTTTCAACCCCAAGTGGTGACATACCCTGCTGTGGTGCTTTGATTATGCCTGTCGACCCTACAAACGAATCCTTTAAAAGATGGATATTTCTGATTCAGCTAAGAGGGCATACTTCTGAAAGCCCCCGGTGGTGCATACCTGCTATAGCTCACTAGACCTGTGGCTTTCCTCCAACACCTAGAACCAGCTGGATGTTTACAATTGTGGTTCACACCGACCCTGCCCGACAGATGGGCTTTTGCTGCAATGAGAAAGGATGGCCATGTGGTTAGGATGACATGAAGCTACTCAGAAATCTTCTTGTGTACATGTGGCCAAGTCTCTGGGCTAGATCCCCAAATGTATGTAGGCACCTAACTCCCTGGCAGTCTGGCATCTACATAGGTCTGATAAGATACCGAGAATAGTACTGTGCAGGCTTTGAGATGCTCAGGGACTATGATACAGGACAGTATGATACAGGACAGTATATAATCTCAAACACTGTGATGTTCTTTCTTTTCCCCTGCGCCCACGGGTGGAACCTTACCCTATTCCCATGTTCGTCACTCCAAGATGCTTCTTGCAGAATAGGAGCACTTGAACTCTCACTTTTAGCATCCTGTATGCAACCACAAATGGTTTGGAAATCAGGCAAAATGAGGAATGCACCCAACACAGACCTGAGTCCTTCCTGCGGCCTGAGGCCTGAGTCGCACCTCTCATTGAATAGGCCCTCTTCCTCCACCAGCAGGCGCCCCACACCGAGAAGCTTACCCATCGGGCTCAGGTCACCATTTCTAAACTCTTCACCCCCAACGCTGGAGGGGGTCTTCCCCTCTTTTATGAAAGAGATCCCGATGGCTCCAGATCCCGTGGGAAAGGGGAGAGTGGGGATGAGTCTTTCATCCTAAATATCCTTGTCTATATATCAGACAACCAGCCAAGCATCTGTGTTGGCTTGGACCTTCCTGCCTTGGTCAAGAAAACCCCCCTTTTCCCTCAAGCAGTCATGCTTCAGCTTAGAGTTGCCACTTGGGCATTTTTGTTTTGCCATTCTGGCCAGTTTTCATAACACCTTACCAGTTGCTGGTGAAAATGTGGTGTGTGAGTTATTCCCTTGACACCCGTGTGCACATGGGCAGTGGTGATCTTGGACCGGCCAGTGCATGCTCCTTAGCTGGGAAAAGGTCACAGCCAGCCCAGAACCTGGGTCCTGTTCTAAACGCCGGACCTACAACCTGCTGGGACCATGGTAGTGTCTCTCACAGCGGGGAACCTGGATGTGGGATGGACTTGAGGCTTGTGAGCAGGAAGGGATAAGGGGGAGGCAGAAGTTTCTGGGAGAGTATGGTACGAGGTGCTCCCTCAAGGTGTGAGAAGGGCTGGCTACTTGTACCTGTCCTGGAGGCAGGGATCCTAGCTTCAGCCAACACTTTAGTAGCCCTGGGTTCAAGTTCCATGACAGAAATCTCTAAGGATGCTGAGAAACCAAGCAGAAGGAAACACTCCTCACCAGCCATCTCAAGACAGACTATTCATCGCACACACTCGGCACAGGACTGGGACATCTGGGATACCCAAGGTTAGTTAACATGGCTGCTTTCTCTCTTTCTCCATCACTACTCCATTGTGAGAAACTTGTGCAAACTCAGTGACAGGAGTCCCTATATGGCTCTCTACTCTCAGAGTAGTCTACCCTGCTACAGTATCAAATCTCCATTACATGGACAGAAATCTCAGAGAGACTGACTGGTTAATGGGCAGAAAACCAGACAGATAGGGTCTCCCACTCCTCGGCTAACAGGAAGGATGCCCATTTTCCTGAATCACTGGCTGCAGACGTGCCTTTCCTTCCTGATAAACAGCTGTCCAGATGACTGGACTCCCATTCGATTATTATTAACCCTATTACTATTAATCAGTTTGGTGTAGTCAAAACAAAATAGTTCGGGCTTCTTGGCAGGAAACTGTTTCGGTATTAGCTCAGGTAAATGTTTCGAGAGTTTTGCAAGAAAATAGCACTAAAAAAAGCAAATCAGAATTTTACATGACTTTAAAGAAGGCAGGAGCTGGGAAAACATTTTCCATCCAATCATTCTTTTCAGGGCATCCTTCACCTCCCCATTTCACAGATCAGGGGTTCAGCATGGGGATCACCAATGGGTAGAACAGGGAGGCCATTTTGTCTAGGCCAGTGTGGCTGGAACTCGGCTGTAGATGCGTAAAGAAGCCAGTCCCATTGAGTAAGGAAGCAACCATCAGGTGGCACACATATTCAAGGTTTTGGACTCACCTTGTCCTGAGAATTCCTTCAGGACAGTGGAGACAAGAATTTGATAACATGATTTTTTTCACCAACAGTTTGCTTTCCGTTAAAAAAAAATCTTAATTTTTTCACAGGAAAACCAATACAAATAAATAGGTTTTGAGCAATTTTTGACTGCACATTTTTGTTGTTTGGTTGCCAAAAATGGAACAATTTTTTTTAAACAAATTGATTTTTTTTCTACCAAAAGTTTTTACATGATTGAAAAAAAACCAAATTTTCCCACTGGAATAAACCTCATTTTCCAACCACTTCTAGGATCACTTTTGAATGCAGTTATTTCTAATTGTCTTGAGACACAAAGATTATGTCTGTTCTGTATGAAGCCCAGGAATGCTAACCTACTTCAGGAAAGGCATGTGTCTCCATTCCTGACTCTGATGATTATGGATCTGGATGTTGCAGGCGTATTTGTTTTTAACTCTTTCTTCCTCCCAGGAGAAAAAATCTGAAAGGTTTTTTTAACTGCTTATTGCAGAGTGTGTGAGATGTGGATCTATCTATTCATACCCATACGAGGAAGTAAAAAGCCTATTATGTGATGTGACTGGAGTAAAAGACAGCTACCGCAGGAACAGATGTTAATGGGCATTTAGCTAACCTAAGGAACCTTTGTTTATTTTAATGTCACATGTTAAAAACCTGGTTTAGAAAAGTATTGTAAAGATGGTGTTATGCAAACTGTGGCGCCATGTCTGAACGGCAATCATTACCATCACATGGGATTATGCATCTGTTCCTTTCAGTGACATAAGGTGGCCAAAATGAACATCCCCCCTCTAATGACCTCAATAAGAGTCCTGCATTTGCTATTACCTTTAGCTCTGACCCACAGAAAAGGGGTTCATGAGGGGAATTGTTCACCCCAGACGTGGCATCCACGACATACACAACTCCCCGTCTCCCAGCTTCATTCTGGAGAAACCAGCTCCCCCAGACATGGCTTGGTGAATTTTTGTCAATGACTAGTAAATTTGCTGAAAAACGAAATTTGGAGGCACCAAAACTATTGACTAATTTGACATACATTTGCCAAACCATTTCCGCCAACAATGTTGAGGTAATAGGCTGAGAGGCACCATTCCACAAAAAGGCTAGTGAAGGAGGCAAAGATCCCTTAATGGCCAGTGGTGAGGGAATTTATTTGGGAATGTGAGAGAGTTGGGTGCTGTTCCCTCTCCCTCTGTCATGGTCAGGGAGGGCCCAAAATCTTTAGATGCGTTCCTGGCAAGGTGTGTGTTTGTGTGTGTGTGTGGGGGGGGGTGTTCCATGCCATAGAAGGGGTGGGGCCTTGGGCATAAGGGGTGGGGCCAGGGTAGCCAGCCCTCAGCCGATCTATCCTGTTTCTATAGCAGGGTCGATATTGCTAGTTTTAATTATAAAAAAACTCTTTATTATATTTCATATTCTTAGTTGTATTATGATACAGGTTGAATCTCTCTAATCCGTCACCCTTGGAACTTGACCAGTGCCAAACCAGATAATTTGTCAAACCACAGGAGGTCAATATTGTCTAGCAGCATCACCAACACTTCTACTGCTTACTGTGCTCTGAGAAGACATTAAGGGATAATTTAGAGCTAAATAAACACACAGAACACTGAAAACCAGGACAAACTTTATGGGACCATGAGAAACTTAGTCACCTCCATGATAAATGGACATCTGGTTAACTAAAATCATGCCGGACTATGGATGTTGCTGGACCAGAGAGTGCTGGACTAGAGAGGTTCAACCTCTAGTATCGGAATACCTCTTGGAGGTGACAGTTCCTTTCCCAAATAACTTATAGTCTAATTAGACAAGGGTTCTCCCAAGACAGGTGGCTGGATTATGCATGGCAGGAGATGGTCCCTTATCCAGACAATTTACTTTTATTAATTCACTCACTCTATGTAACTATTTATTTAATCACTTGATGGAAACTCCCTCTTAGGTACTGTGGTAATCTAACACAGCTCACTCTATGGCTGTGTCTACACTGGCCACTTATTCCGGAAAATCAGCCGCTTTTCCAGAATAACTTGCCAGCTGTCTACACTGGCCCCTTAAATTTCCAGAAAAGCACTGATGATCTACTGTAAGAAATCAGCCGCTTTTTCAGAAAAACTATGCTGCTCCCGTTCGGGCAAAAGTCCTTTTCCAGAAAACTGTTCCAGAAAAGGGCCAGTGTAGACAGCACAGTAGTGTTTTCCGCAAAAAAGCCCCAATCGCAAAATGACGATCAGGACTTTTTTGAGGAAAGCGCATCTACATTGGCACGGATGCTTTTCTGGAGAAGCACTTTTTCCAGAAAAGCATCCTGCCAATGTAGACGCACTTTTTCCGGAAATACTTATAACGGAAAACTGTTCCATTTTAAGCATTTCCGGAAAATCATGCCAGTGTAGACGTAGCCTATGCTCCCACATAACATGTACTGTGCAAGCTTGGTCCAGGGACAATTTGCAGACAGAGGTGTTTTCAATGTATGGTTGAAACCACACACAGTAGGGTTCTCCAAAAATGGATCCTATCAACTGCACATACACTGCCTTCAAATCAGGGACAGGAGAAAAATACATCCAAGAAAACCACAGAGCATAACATTTTAGTGACAGTCTTTTCCCCCCTTGAAATCCAATTTACTAATCCTAACCTAGCATTCAACAAATAGTTACACACCCATCACTACATGGAACAGAAGTGTTGCTGCTTTGGTGATTAATTTTAATGGCAGATACGATCCTTTCTCAAGTTTGTACCTGCCTAAATGTGAGTGATTAAGGCCAAAACATGCTTTCATTGTGAACTCCAACTCCTAGAGATAATGAACAGTCCTTTCAGCCTTTATCAGTTCATCTACATCATTTCAAGACAAGAGGTGAGAACACACTCTTTTCAGGGCTTCCTTAACCTCCCTGTTCCTCAGGCTGTAGATCAGAGGGTTCAACATGGGGGTCACCATGGTGTAGAACACGGAAGCCACTTTGTCTAGACCGGTGTGGCTTGAACTAGGCTGGAGATACATGAAGAATCCAGTCCCATAGAATAAGGAAACAACTGTCAAATGGGAGGCACAGGTGTTGAAGGCTTTCGACCTGCCTTGTGTGGACTGCATCTTTAGAATGGTGGAGAGGATGTAGAAATAAGAGATGAACGTGATCCCAGCAGTACCTATCCCATTGAGGCCAACAAAGGCAAAGATCACCATCTCATTGTTGCGGATTTCAGAGCAGGAGAGCTGCAGAAGTGGGCTGATATCACAAAAGAAATGATTGATTTGGTTTGACTCACAGAAGGAGCCTCCAAAGGTGCAACTTGTGTATAACAGCGCGCACAGAAAGCCAACGGTGTAGGAAGTTCCCACCAGCCGGGCACAAATCCCCTTTGACATGATGACCATGTACAGCAGGGGCTTACAGATGGCTATGTACCGGTCGTAGGCCATTGCAGCTAGGAGGTAACACTCAACAATCCCAAAGACAACAAAGCTATACAACTGCACTATGCATTCAGTGAAGGAAATGACTTTCCTGTCTGATAAGAAGTTCACCAGCACCTTGGGGGTGATGACGGTGGAATAACAGACATCAGCCAATGAAAAATTGCTGAGGAAAAAATACATGGGGGTGTGGAGTCGGGAATCGGCCTGGATTAAGGCCATCATTCCGAGGTTCCCCATCAGAGTCAGCACGTATATCAGTAGAAACATCACAAAGAGGGGGATCTGCAACTCTGGTCTATCAGAGAGTCCCAGGAGAATAAACTCCTGGACTGTGTGGTTAGCTTGTGGGGCCATTCCTTCCCTGAATATCTGTGGAGGGAAAAGGAAAATGTGTTTAAAGAGGGAACAATTTGTGTTTCCTTTTGCTACCCCTTTAAATTTTCACAATCACCAATAGAATAGATACAGCTTAATTACTCCACTGAAGGTAATTAGAGCGAGGTGCATTATGAATTTTTTAGTTTTAAACTAAAAATTCCCCTCACCCCTTGGCCTAGTTTGAATTGAAACTATGTTGGTCAAATTGAGAAGCTAAAAGAATCCCTCCACAATCATTAACAAGCAACAGAAATATTTCCACTTGACTCAAAATATTTTTTTTTTCCATTTTGGATGCCTTCCAAGCTGATGGAACGGCTTCAGTCAACTCGAAATGATTTTTTCTGAGCTTTTTAAGAAAATTCATTTAATATTGACAACAACTAGAAAACCTCAGACTCCAAAATCATAAATACGTGTATGGAGGGGTGTCACTGCTCAATTATAAATGCCTGCTATGGTGTGAAAGTAACATTCCACCATGAGATATTTATCTTCCTTTTTTGCCAAAACTGTTTATTTTAATTAATTATCTCGGTTTCAGTAGCACCAAGTAAAGATCATGACAGAGACCCTTTTGTGCTGGAGCTGTGCAAATGCATAATAACAAATTACTTCTGCACCGAAGAGCTAACAGCCTATATAGACAGAGGAGGGATTACTGTCCCCAAAGTACATGTGGGAAACTGAGCCATGATGACATTAAATGGTTTACCTGGAATCATATAGGTAATCAATGGCAAAACTGGGAACTGATCTTATCCATAAGTACAGCCTCTTCCCAACTTACAAACCGGTTACGGACCAAGCAGTTGGTCATATCTCGGTGCGTTCATAAGTCGGACCCCATAGAGATACACGCAATCGCACTGTTCGTAAGCACGGCTCACGTTCGTAACTCAGGGTCCACCATTTATGACAGCTTTGGTCGTAACTGTGAATGTTCGCAACTCAGGGACCGGCTATACCCCATAATACCATGGCTTATCATAGAATCATAGAACACTAGAACTGGAAGGGACCTCAAGAGGTCATTGCATCCAGTCCCCTGCCCTCATGGCAAGACCAACCACTGTCTAGACCAGTGGTTCTCAACCGTGGGCCATATGGCTCCCCAGGGACCATGCTCTATCTCTAGGGGGCCACATAGAAAAAACAGAACATTAGGTAAATGATGTACCTTTTTTGCCAACTAACAGTGGCTATGAGGGGGGCCACAGAGGTAAACAAGGCTCAGAAGGGGGCCATAAGCAAAAAAAGGTTGAGAAACATTGATCTATATCATCCCTGACAGATGTCCATCCAACCTGCTCTTAAATATCTCCAGTGATAGAGATCCCACAACCCCCCTAGATAATTTATTCCGGTGTTTAACCAGCCTGACAGTTAGGAAGTTTTTCCTGATGTTCAATCTAAACCTCCCTTGCTGCAGTTTAAGCCCATTGCTTTTTGTCCTATCCTCAGAGGTCAAGGAGAACAATTTTTCTCTCTCCTCCTTGCAACACTCTTTTAGATACTTGAAAAATGCTATCATGTCCCCTCTCAGTCTTCTCTTTGAAAGAATTGGGTTTGTTTAGTTTGGAAGTCTTCCCTCATAGGTCATGTTTTCCAGGCCTTTCATTATTTTTGTTGCTTTTCTCTGGACCTTCTCCAATTTCTCCACATCTTTCTTGAAATGCAGTGCTCAGAACTGGGCACAATACTCCAACAGAGACCTAACCAGCACAGAGTAGAGCAGAAGAATGACTTCTCATGTCTTGCTCACAACACTCCTGTTCATGCATCCCAGAATCATGTTTGCTCTTTTTGCAACAGTGTCACACTATTGACTCATGTTTAGCTTGTGGTCCACTATGACCCCTAGATCCCTTTCTGCAGTACTCCTTCTTAGACAGTCACTTCCCATTCTTGTGATCCATGGCTTGCAATCCAATGCATCTGAAGATGATTCATTTGATGGACAGTGCCATGCTCTGGGATGGAGAAGGCTTTTCCCAGTGTAAGGAACATCCTTCTAAGGAAGATCTCACGTACAGGACACAGGACGAAATGTTCTACCAGGATCTGTCTGTGACTGAGCGTTCCACCTCCTTCCCCCTTGCAGGTGTTATCTCCTGCAACCTCATCTCCTCCCACTGGAAGGCTCACCTCTCCTTAGCGTCTCCCTCAGAACACTGCGAGTCACACACGGACACAAGACAGCCAACTACCTGCAGAGATATGGGCTGCCACATTCATCGATTTTCTGCAATCCCATGTTGATTGGCTTTAATTCACTACTCATATCTGAGTCCTGTATCAGTCATTCCATTATTTTGTCTGGGATCAATGTTGAGTTAGAATAACCCCTTTTACCCCGTTTACCCGCACAGTGCTCAGTTCAATGCCTTTTTGCTTGGCTTGGGGCGAGCGATACAGGGTAGCCCACGTGTAAAGGGGACGGAACTCAGTCCTGTCCTGCCAGTGCATTTGGGCTTTTCCCATTTGTCTTTGGAAGACCATTCCTGATCTGCTGGCAGGCTCCACAGTTGTTTTATGTGGTTAATTCCATCTCACACCCACCCTCCTCCCAGCCCCACCCCGAGTGGCCCCCAAACCCATCTGTGCAGGCAATCTAGGAGGCTACAGCAGCTTACGTCTGAGGAGCTCCAGATCTGGAAGGTGGGCATGTGTCTTTCTGGTGCCTGAGCCTTGTGCAGCGAGCCACATTTCACCCTGAGGCGAACAGACACAGAATGGTAAATTCTCACATTTCCTAGAGCAGCGGTAGGGAACCTTTTCTGAGTTGGGGGCCACTGAAAAAAAATCAATCAGGGGCTGCACACAAGTGAGAAGCAAGCAAACAAACAAAGAAGTCGCTATGTCAATGTTCAAGTCTCCCCTACTCCCCAAACAAAATCCAGTTAGCCCTAACACACCCACAAATGATTTTTCTCAGTGGATGTGTAATGCTGGCAGGCCCTATGGGAATCCATCCATTGACTTCAGTTGGTACTAAATCAAGGCCTACTTGAAGATAATGTTGTAATATATAAACCCTCTCCTCTAGGTCAGTGGTCCCCAATGTGGTGCCCGCAGGCACCATGGCATTTATGTGTGCCCACCAAAACATCTGGGCTGGTGCCCCTCCCCCTCCTTGATGCGCGGCACATGTGTGGTGCTGGCCCCAGATGCGTGGCGCATGGGCGGCCTCTGCCCCGGGCACATTGCACGTGCGCAGTGCTAGCCCCGGGTGCGTGGCTCGTGGGTGGCCCTGCCCCCGGGCATGCGGTGTGTATGTGGCCCCAACCCGGGCGCGTGGTGCATGAGCGGCCCCGCCCCCAGGAGAAAGGTTGGGGACCACTGTTCTAGAGCTTAGCAGGTGAGCCTCTGCAGCTTGAACTATAAAGTCAGCTGGCTCTCAGCTAAGACTACAGACCAAACTCTTTCTTTCTTTCTGGTAAGTGGTCTAAATACCACTAAATAGGACAGTGAACCCCACCCAGGAAGTGTGTGGGTTACACATGCATTAAGGTTCAGTTCAAGTCTGCTTTTAATGAGGATGATACTTGAAAGCCAAACTGGGGCAGTTTTTGAAGGTTAAAATCATGAATCAAAGCCTAGTTTTACTTGCATCTCCAGAAAAAAATGCAGGAGTTCCCCTCTTTGTATTAAATTTTGCATGTCCTGCCTTTCCTTTGATTTTCACTAAACAACAGTTTAGACTGCATACATTTGGTGCAGGTGAGAAGTGGGGTCTTTCTATTTCCTGTTTGCATTTTTCTTTAATAAATAAATTGATTTCTAAGCTCTAAATAACTAAAGCTATAAAGGTGTCTCTAAGCTATAAATGAATTGACTCCTAGGCTATAAATAAGGCTATAAAGCTATTTCTAGGCTATAAATAAATTTATTTCTAAGTTCTTTGGAAATGAAAAAAAGGTTTGTTTGGGTTTTTTTAATTGCAAAAGAATGGCCTTTTTGAAAAGAAATATATTTAATGAAAATACTTTCCGAATATTTTGTTTTGCATAAAAATTGAATTTTAACATTTAAATAACTATGAAAACATTGTAAAATCAACACCAACATGTGGATCACTTTGTTACATGTAACACAAACATTTTTTGTTTTGTGTTAACGTGTTTGTTTCTGTAAAGAACTTGGGTTTTGCTAAACTATTTTTTCTAGAACCAGTCTAAGAATGTATTTTTATAAGGTTTAACATAGAAATATCACTGAAAATGTTACGATTTTTTTTAAAAAAAGACTTGGTTCCTATCCTTTCTAAATATAAATAATTTGGATATTTTGATTTTTTTTCATGAAATTAGTTTTGCATTTTTATCAGTTTTATTTATGCCTATTATGTTATTAACCAACAGATTTCAAATGTTCTTCTCTCTTGTGCATAGACTCGTCTGTCATATACCCTGGCATCAATCTGTAGTCACCTTGAGTAAATCAATGGAGTTACCCCTGGAGCTGGTCTGCGTTGGTAGCAATGGTCACGTTGATTAGAATGTAGCCTATACCTTTAAAAAGAAACCAAACATCTGAATGATGGAGAAGATAATAAAATCTTCATCTGAGAATAATTTTCCTCCATTAGTGATTCATTATTTAGCATTCTAAAAAATAACAATAGCAACAGGTTCTCTAGCATTAATTCCCTGGATGAAAAGAGACTATTTCAAAGACTGTTTTTACAGTAGCTGTTTTCAAATACATACATAAAGTCAGTCGGTGATAGGCTCAGAGGTTGTCTCCGATCTCCTTTGCAGACAGTTCCTTCAGAGAGCACCCAAATCTGATTCAAAATGTTGGGGGCTTTGTGGGGCAAAACTAGAGGTGAGGTGTAAGGTTCTGTCCAGCAAATTTTTGAATGATAGTCTCCCCTCAGATTGTTTTAATGCCGTTAACCATAATGAAATCTCTCCTGATTTACTCCAGGGTATGTGAGAGCAGAATCAGACCCCTAGTCTAAATTAGACTCC